ACGTCATTCGAGGGACAGCACCAATCGGAAAGGGCTTGAGGGTTCTGGTTCCACCCACCCTCCCCTCCGAATGTCAACCAATCAGGCACGAGCCTCGCTGGGGCACCCCAAACCTCTCGAGCCTTAGCCAATGGCAGAGGAAGAAGAGCCCTCCTAGTGACCGAGGCGGGGAGCAGGCAGGCCCCGCCTCGGCCGGGGTCTGAAAGCGGCGGGCGCAGGGCCCGGATGTGGAGAGTCACTTTAAACTGCTCCAGGAGCCAAACTCCCCGACCGCCCACCAGCGGCTCCAACTCCTTCACTTCTCCGCCCAGGCCTGAGCCTGCCACGCCCCCACGAGCGGGTCAGCACACTGCTCCCAGGCGCTCTCCCTCGCCCCGGGACGCCCGGCCCCGGTCGCCGGCCCAACCGCCGTGACCAGCTCTCGAAAGAGCCCAAGTCCTAGCCGCAATAGACAGACACAGCTGTCCTTTCCCTGAGACGCACCGCGAATGGAGGCTGCAGCCCTGCTCGGCCGCCCCGCCTCCTCATCCCCTCCCCTGGCCTCTCGGGCGCCCGTCCCGCCATTACCTAGGTGTCTGCGCCAAGTGGCTGCCGCGCCGCCTCGAGCTCTCGCCCGTGCGCTTCCCGCCTCTGGGCAGAGATCCTCTGGCTTCGGACCCGATGCCACCGCCGCCGGGGCGCTAACACTCTGCACCCCTCCCCTCAGTTCAGCGCCACTGCTTCCGCCGCTGTAACGAGCCTCCTGATAATTGGCTGTAGAAGGACCCGCCTCCAACGGGGAAGCCAATCACCGCCCAGTGTGAGCGCAGAGCGGGAGGGCCCAACCCCTCGGTGCCGCTGAGGACTCTGGAAAATGTAGTTCTCAGTGTCCAAGGGCGGGCCGGGAAAGAGGTGGGAGCGCTCGGTCGGGGCGGACCTCCAGGCGATTTGGGAATGAGCTGCACGCCCATTTGGTCTCAGGAGAAGGTGGGCGACTTCTCTCTACGGAGTGAAAAGATAGTGATTCCCGTCCCCTTTGCCTCAGCTTGATGGCACTAATTTCCATTTTTCTGAAGGGGTGGGTGAGGAGAGCCGCGCGGGAAAAGAGTAATGGAGGCTGGGCTGCAGCTGGTTGATGGGGCCACTGGCAGTGCGGAGGGTTTGATTGCATGAGCCTGCCTACCCGCGCCGCGTATGGTTCTTTGGTATAGCTAAAGAAGGCCACCGCCAGGAAAACTCTGGCATCGTAGGAGGACTGTGCACTCTGAACTGGAGCAACTGCGTGAGTCTGCGCTTGGCTCTCAGCCTCGCAAGCTGCGCACCTCGCCCAACCTGCCCAGCAATCGGGCCTGAGCCCGTAAGAGGTCTGCTCAGAAGAGGCACTGTTGGCAAAGAACTCAGGCACTGTGCACCTGTTCGGGTTTGGGGGATTATAAAGAATCGAAGGATGGTTTTGTTTGGTTCTTCTTTGTTGGGGTGGGAGGGTAGGAGTTTATACACCCCTTGGAGTCCTGGTGTAGCACTGTAGGATAAGCCCTAGACCACAAGGTCGGCGGTTCAAACTCACCAGCCGCTCTTTGGAAACCCTATACAAGATTGCTTTTAGGTCATACTAGCGATTATGTCCCCATCTTCTCTTTCCAGATGATGATAATTTATGGCTGGAAGGACCATGACTAGTCGAGATAATGTTGTGTGCCCTACAGTGAATCCCGACTCAGTAATCATATAACAACAACAACAAAAAAAAAAAGGAGTCCATTTCAACTCATTGTGACCCTATATTGCAGAGTAGAACTGCCCCAGGGGGTTTCCTACTTTGCAACTGTCAGGTTACACAATAAGCAAGGGAAGTGGGTTTACTTGTGTGTGTTTACTAATCTGTAGTGAACAATTTCACCTTTTTTCACCACATCAAAGATTCTGCTTCTAGGTATGGCTGATCTCTAAAGCCTCTTTTCTTTAAATCCAGACCGTGCGTGATCAGTATCCAGCAAGCAAGATAGATTTCTTATTAGGTGATCTGCCCCTGCTAGACTGTAATCTTTGAGAAAGCACATGACCAGGTCTTTTCTGCCAAAGAGCTGCTAACTATTTTGGTTGTAAACCTAGTGCTTAACTAGTTTGTCACCATGGATCCATAGTCAAGATATGAATGGAAATCCCTTTTTCCTATACAGCACAGCTAACACAGTTGCTGGCTAGGACAGGAATACCTCCAGGCAACAAGAATACGTCTCTCTTCCCTCAAACCACTTTCTCACTTTCTCTTCATTCTAAAGTATCTTCTAAAAGTAATCAACATTCATACTTTAGCCTTCTCTCTCTCCTTGTTGGATTCAGCTCCCACCACCCTTCTCAAACTGCTCCCAAAAAGTTGACATTAACCTACTCTAAATCCAATGTTCCTTACTTAGTTCTTACATTGTTTAGTTACTGAACTTAAGATGTTCTTAAATTGTTTAGTTCCTCAAGATGTTCTTTCCCTGGCCACAATAATCACACTCTCTCCTGTTTCTACTCCTTTCCCATAGGAACCTCTACCATAATCACAACATTCTCCAGGATCCCAAATATCTCTTAATTTTACATTCTTTTCATAAAGGATGTAATGCACTCTCAACAATTAAAAATATATCCTTATAAATGGCCCAATTTTTTATATATATGGTGACCTTTCTATGAATTGTCCACCTATATTTCCAGGTGCTATACTAAGTCATATAGCTGTCTTTTGGACCCCTCAATATTAACATATTGAAAAGCTTTATTTTTTGTTTCACCTACCTACTCTTGGTTCCTGGACTTGGTTAAGAGTACCATCATCCTTTCTGCCTTTGGTTTCAATTAGTTTCCTACTTTCTCATCTTTCAAAGTCACGATATTGTATTGGTATATACCTGTTCACCTTCTTTCCAAACACTTCATCAAGCTTTCAGCATTTCTTGTCTGAATTAGAGTAATATTGCCCCCAATATAATATTTTCCGAATTGAAATGTTTCAACAAACTGAAACAGCGCTGGAGGCCCCTGTTTGTCACTGCCAATAAATTAGGAGGACAGTTACCTGGCCAACCGATTAGAAGAGATCCATGTTGTGCCTATTCCAAAGAAGGGTGACCTAACAGAATGCAGAAGTCATCAAACAATATCATTAATATCACATGCAAGTAAAATTTTGCTAAAGATAGTTTTAAAACCTTTGTAGCAGGACATCAACAGGGAGCGGCCAGAAATTCAAGCAGAAGAGGACGTGGATGTAAGTATGTCACTGCTTATATCAGATGGATCTAGGTTGAAGGCAATAGAGTACCAAAAAGAAGTTTATATGTGCTTTATTGGCTATGCAAAGGCATTTGACCATGTGGATCATAACAAACTATGGATAGACAACATTGAGAAAACTGGGAATTTCAGAACACTTAATTGTGCTCATGAGGAACGTGTTCATAAACCAAGGGGCAGTCATCCAAACAGATACTGAATGGTTTAAAATCAGGAAAGCTCCATCAGGGCTGTATCATTTCACCATTCTTGTTCAATCAACATACTGAGCAAATTATTCCAGAAGCTGGATTATTTTTGAAGAAAAACATGGCATCAGGATTGGAGGAAGACAATGCTGGCTCTAAATTCCCAATGTCCCCATCCCAAGTTTCAGGAACTCATTTCTTACCAATTAACACCCTCACTTTAGCATCAGACACCATCCCAAGTAGAAAGTTGAGCCGGCATTTGTAATTCAACGATTCTTACGATAAAACTCTGGGTGTGGTTTTCAGTAATATCAACTCTGCTACTAGACTCCTCCACCACACTTCTGTCATACTGTGGTGGC